GCCTTAGCCGCTTGAGCCACAGTCACCGAGCCTATTGGACTTCTTAAATCAATTGGTTAATGTCTTTTATTGGTTGTGGAACCTTCTCAGCTGTTATTTCAGTTATTATTTCCATCTTTATCATTTGTCTGAGATCTCAAATGAAAATATGTTAGAACGCTATTTATCAACTTGCCTAGTCCAAAAAAATGTTTCAACAGCATGAGGTTATAAGAAATGTGCTTTTCATAATAGGATTTTTAGCTCATTAAAGGACCTCGGCCATAATAGCTTAAAACTGAGAAGGTACTAATTTATATGCACACTGTAGATTGCCACACAGAATATATAATAAGCTATGTGATAATTGTTGAAAGGACAGTCAAAATGAAAAGTCTTAAATATCAGTTTGACTTTTTTTCATGCCTGATTATGGAATAGCTTGCTTTCTGTAAACATTTATAAATGTAGTTTTTTGTAAATTTTAAAAAGAATTCTGAAAAACAGATCTTTAATACATTAAAATTTACATTAAGTCATTATCTCAAATTATTGAGTGTCATTAACAAAAGCTTTTGCCTTTTTCCTTGTTGTGACAGTGGGGGCCATTTGCTGTCTGTGAAAAACATAACCTTGTTCTCTAAGCCTGTAAAACTTTCTCTCTCTTTCTCAATAAACCTTGTTTCACATTTGCCTTACAAAAAAAAAAGTTTTAATTTTGCAATAGAAAAACTGTGTTTTCAGCTAAAATAATTGTTTTAACTTTCTCTTCCATTTACAACATGGCCTATTTTTTGTTTCTTTCCATTGTAGGATGGTCTTGTTAATGTAGGATGGATAGATTGTGCCATCCAGGACAACCTCTGTAAAAGTTTGGATATTACAACAAGTGCCACTGCTTATTTTCCTCCTGGAGCCACTTTAAATAACAAAGACAAGAGCAATATCTTGGTATGAATCGCTGTACTGTAATTTCTTTACATGTATATGTGCACATACCTTCAAAAGTAGTATGTTATTTTTTAAGCATGGAGCAAGAAAATTAATCAGTTTATACAGACGGTGCCAAAAAAAAGTATACACATTTTAAGACTTCAGTTATAAGAGGTGCTCAATGTGACCTGTATTCATCTTTTGTTAGCACTGTATATTGAGTATTGCAATTTTAATACAGGTTTTTTCTTTCTTAAAATATGTATATATATTTTTACACCCTTTGTATTTTGTTTGGGGGATTCTATTTACTACATTGGTTTGTAGAGTTTAAGAATTATTTTTAAACTAGCATTTATATTACATTTAAAACCATTACACTCTTACATTTAAATTTACATTAAAAACCATTACAAGTTTAAGGTATGGGATACATTCTTAGGTTAAAGAAAAGAACATTTACAAGGACTCTCTGAAAAGTACCCAGCCATTGTTAATACCATTTTTCATATTGTATGACTTGTATACTATGTATATTTTATGGACAACCCTTGTATGAGTTTTCATTGTTTTACATTTAATTATATATTTTCTAATATCAAAAGTATAGATCAGTGGCAATTTGGCATGGGGACCAGGTATCTATTTTTTTAAAGCACCCTATGGAATTCTGTAAATTTAGTTTGGAGATCTGCTGATATGGTTTACTCCTTAAGTTGATGAATAAGAAAACTTAGGCTCAAGGAATTGAGCATAAATAGTGGGATATCAGATAGGTCCCTAGGGAATCCCAAAAGAAAATGAAGTATTCTTGATAAAGACAACCTAAGGAGGTTTGTCTCCTCCTCTGGTTGTGTTTTCTGTATTTTAACTATGCATTTTTGGGTGTTGATAAAGATAACACATACTCATTTCAGAAATTCCTATATTGTATAGAGTTGTATAAAGATTTTAAATTCCCAGAAAACAATTGACAGCCACCATCAAATCTTGGTAAATACTCTTGCAGACTTCTACTTACATATATGTGCAATTTTGACTGTTTTGACAATTCTGTATTTTGTGTCTGTGTTCAGACCTCTGTCCTTCACTCTAGATGTGTGCACATGTACCATTATCTATTAAATATCTGTTGGGATGTCAGTGTCTCAAATGTAAATACCTATTTTATAACTATTCTCCTAGTATTTCCACATAAATCTGTTTCACCCAGTTCTCCCCATTTCATTACAGAAAACGCTATCCTTTATTACTGAGTTCAAATGCTCTGGAGTCGTTCTTGATTCCTCTTTTTCTCTTATCTTATAATCAGTTCTTCAGGGAAATCTATGACTCTTATCTTTAAATGTTTCCTTACACACAATATGGATGGGTGGGTATAAATAGGTAATTTTTCATTACTAGGATTATATAGTAGATTCTAATACCATATTTTCACTTAGTATATAAAGAAAAATTTTTTATCAGTGACTATATTAATGCATGTTAAAAATTTTACCTTTTATTTATAGATAAATATATGCTATTACTCAGACTGTTACTAAAAGAATAATGTATATATCCTTTATATAATAAATATATAATGTAATATATATACACATTATCCTTTTAGTAATTAACAGTCTTGAGTAATCCACTAAATATGACATACTTAGTTTTAATCAGTACTTTCTTGGTATTTATACTTTTTTTAAACTTTATTTAAATTAGTGAGGGTACAATATTTGGTATTAATACTTTTTCATGATTAAAAGCACTGTTGTAGTGAGCAATCTTGTAATGTTTATCTTTGTGTACTTAAGTTATCTGTTTAGAATGGAAAAACTGTGGCAATTTAAAATTCAATAATTCTTGCTATATTGCCTTCCAGAAAAGCTATACTAGTTTGTGCTGTACCATCAGTTGAGGAGGATTGGCCACTTAAAATAGCTTCTTACCTTCAGTATTATCTCTGGGCTTTATGATAAAAAAAAATCACAAGGTCAGATGCTGTCTTAGACAGGAAACAGAAATGAATGACAGTGGAAATGTAAAAACATGGAATGGTGAATTAAACACTCGTCCTTCCTAAAAGGATTCAGGTGTTGAAAGTATAAAACACTGTGCCAGTTAAATATATGTGAAAGGTTAAAATTCAGAGGCTAGATGATATCCTTTAAAGGTCTAAATAGCAAATTGTATAAGACAAACAGGTTTATAATAATGAAGTTCTTATAGCTTAATCACCTACACATTTATATAAGCTGTTGTAGTAGTATTCTTAGTAGAATCTTCATGATGAATGTGACTAAAGTAAATAAGCCATAGAAAACTAAGACATGAAAAATTTATATTTGGGCATTTTAAGCTCTTTGGTGGCGGGAATTACTTTATTTAGGACTTAATGTTTATTCTGTAAATTTAAAATAAAAACAGAACTAGTTTTAAGAAAGGAAACTTAGAAACAGTGGGTATAACCTAAGAATAGAGAACTAAGTTTTTCCTATTCATGTTTGTTCTCATTTCTAGCACT